CAGGCCACAATTTCAAAACCAACGGCTAGCTGACGTCAGTTACCGTTGGATTAGATTTTTTTTTTTTTTTTGGCCAAATTTTTTTAAATTCTCATTTTTTCCTATAAATACCTAAGTCATTCCTACACCATTTGTCACATAATTTTCACCATTCCATACTATCGCACTTCATTCTATTTCAATTCTTCACATTCTATTTTCTTATCTCTTCCAATAATCTTTCCTTCAATTATTTCAATAATTTTCAAATTGCCTCATCTGCAATGAAAGGTAGAGCTTGGACCTGAAAAGAAGATGAAGCTCTTTGCAGGGATTATAGATGGGTCTCAAAAGATAGTGTAAGGGGGACTTCTCAAACAAGTGAAGGTGTTTGGACTTGTGTGTCCAAAAAATACTATGAGTTCTACAAAGGCACCACTCCACCGAATACCCGAAACCACGAGAATTGTTCTTCAAGATGAAAGAAACATCTTCATCCAAGTTTGAATAAATGGCATCAAGCATTATTAGCAGCCGCAAATAGACATGAAAGCGGCACCAATTACTACAACGAAAAAAGTGTTTTCACAATTTATTTTAAATATTTAAGTTGTTGTAGTTTTTAAATTTAAATAATAAATTACGTTTGGCCCTATGACCCTTTGACCCTCGGTTGATAGGGATAAAAACCCTTAAAACTACTTGCAAGGGTATAAGGTTATCGTAGTATAGCAGCTCAAGTAAGGTTGTTCTCCACAGGGATTAAATGAATAATTTATGTAAATACCAAATCTTAATTAATTATTTGAAAACAAAGTTTAGAAAAAGGTGATTTAATGACCTAAATTATTAAAAACGAATTTAATTAAAAACAATTAAATAAATTGGGAAAGTAAAGAAAACAAAAGAAAATAGTTTTGAAAATAAATTTGAGTACTAGGGTTCCGCCGTCACCTTAACAATCCTACGTAGTTCTTCCAATTACTTATGAATTACACATGCATATTTTAAATTTAGGTTTTCTTAAAGTATGCCCTACTTGGAACCTCCAACATAGAACATATATCTAACATGCAACCCATCCGTGGTGTCCACATCGAATGTGAATATGAAAGACTCATTAAGTCTTGTGAAATCCTTCTGAAAAACTATATAACCCTTAAGGCATGTCATCCATCCTAAGAAGTTACACATATTAACCACAAGAAGCCAGCGCCAATTTCAGGAACAGCCTTCTGCCAAAATTGCATCAAATTACTTTTCTAAATATCCTAATGGTGGCCAATCATCAAGACAATTGGATAGTTTGAAGTACAGTGATTAATAATTCAAATCTTGCATGCATAATATCATAAGCAAATTGAAAAGAAACTACATATTCTTGCTAAGGCTCATGGCCTCGCCCTAGCAAACGAAACTAGTTACGAATAATCATAAAACAAAATATTATTAAGAACATGGATAGAAAACACCTTGAAAATAAACTTGAATTGTCAAAAGTAGTGTGTTCCACCCCCCCTCCCAATGTTGCGTAAAGAACCCTAATGGCTAACAAGCCTTATTTATACCACTACAAAATAAAATCCTCCCTAAAAAAGATCTTAAAATAAAACTAAGAAACATAATAAAATAATAAAACAGAAAATAAAAGGTTTCCAATTTAATCTAAAATTCGGACTTTTCAGAAAATTCATCTTTTGACCGGCCAAATCAACTTCGATTTGGTCTCAAAAGGTCTCTTTTGAAATCTGAAGACGTCCCCTATAAATCCTCAGAAGGAATCTTCCTCAAAATATGCCGTCTTGACCTTCAAAATACCCAAAATGTCCAGAAACATCAATCTGGGAAAGTTGTGCACTAGGCCTTTATTTCATCGCCACGGTCAAAAGGCTTGGTAGAAAAATCTAGAATTTTGACACAATCATCTTGAAAGGCACATGAACATCCCCCAATTGGAATCACTCCAAAATTAATCTTTGATAATTTTTTGCTCCAAAGGAAGTCAAATGTCCTACATTGAAAATATAATCCAAAATATCAAAATTCTACCAAAATAACCAATAAATTAATACTAAGATTAGGGTAAAATATATAGTATAATATCGCCTCATCAGTTGGAAATGGTTTTTTGTCACATAGATATGTTTGGCCCTTTGGCTCTTGGTTGGAGATGGTAAGAAATATGACTCTGCATTGTTTATTAAAATATTAATTTGTTGGAGGGTGTTTTAGCCCTCTGGCCCACCTTTGGTTGGAAATGACCTTATAAGCTCATGCAAAGTCTCTCCTCCCATTAAGGTGGGACTCATTCTCAACATGTCCCATCAGCGAATTTTCAAGCCTAATACAAGAACACACAACGGAGTGACGTGGAGCGTGGGTGACGTGAAAAGTATGTGGCCGTTGGACTTCACACTTGGGACAATCTGCTCTGATACCATGAAGAAATTGAGGTTCCACTATAAAATTAATTTGCAATATAGGGAGTAGCCTAACTACTTATAAGCTCATGTAAGGTCCCTCGTCCCATCAAGGTGGGACTCATTCTCAACATTTATAGCCTAGTTTTCTGTTGTAATATTCAGATTTCAATTTATTCAATACAAATTTGAGACTTTTATAGATAGGGTGGATTTTAGGTTCTTGTGTTTTTAGTTTTACAACCTGGTCTGACTGTTCTCTTATTTTCCGCTACGTTAAATTGTACTCGGAAGCTTCAGATCGTGAGCATTTTTTCTCTTCGTTTCAAAATCTTCGAAAACAAAAAACGAGTTTAATGGAGTCGAACCAATCGAAACCTGACCTACTGTGCAATCTTGAAAGCTCTCAAGTATCGTTTGATATGCAGACAGGAAGGGGTGGAACAGAATGGGACTGGACGGTACAGGATAGGACGGGACGGAACGGAGAGTGAGCAAAGATGCCCTCGGATGGAAACAAGGAGGAAGAAGAAGGAGAAGGAGACGGAGATGTTATAATTTTGTGTTCCACGGATGTGGAACGAGCCGTTCCAGGAGGTGAGGCGGAACGAAAATTCACCCAAAATTCGTCCCATGGAACAGCGCGTTTCACCCGTTTTAGGTGCACCAAACGTGGGACGGAACGTCTCGTCCCACTCCATTCCGTCCCGTTCCACGTACCTAACGGTACCTAAGGGACCAAACCATTTTAGAGCTTAAGAAATTGGTTAACTCTCCATATTGTCAATTAATTTATGGTACAACATCAATTTTTTTATTTATTTTGTGAGGATTTAATGATAAAATATCTTAAATTCATAACAAACCAACATTATTATAACACGTCATTAACGTGTGTGCGATATCCATCTATGTAAAATATTTCTGCCGATCCGCACCCTAACAAGTATTCCAAAAAAGAGTTGGGTCCATAAAGAACCCTTATCATCCAAAAACAAGAGTTGGGCTGGTAGCATATCCATGTTTCTTTTTGGGCTCTTGATTTCCATGGGGTTGCTCCATTTGCCATCCAATTTCAACTCTAACTTGAGAGGTACAGTAAAGCTTGGTTCTTTGGCATTGCTCTTCCTGGGGCCAAATCGCTGACAGATATAACATGCATGGGTCTCAGTCTCATCTCTCACACAATACTCTCTTCAAGAAAAAAAGTAGTATATATCGGATTGGATTTGACCAAGTAGTATATATATTAATCAGTGAGATAAGATTGAAAGAACTGGTAGTCAACTTGACCTCCAACAAACAGCTACACTGCACCGAGCTATTAATTAAGGTAATTTGGTTAGACGTTCTGATCTAGAATAGGACCAGAAAAACATGGATATTCTTGTTTCTAAAGGTCGCGAATTCTTGAGTTTTTATTCAATGTGTCCAACTTCTGTCTGAAAAAATTCAGACCATCAATTCTTGAGTTCTTATTCAATGAGTTTTTATTCAATGTGTCCAACTTCTGTCTGAAAAAAATCAGACCATCAATTCTTGAGTTTTTATTCAATGTGTCCAGCTTCCGTCTTCTGTCTATCATATATATATCTATTGTGTATTATAATTTAAGTAAAACAACAATACTACGTGACCGTATTAATTTTGAGTCCACCGCAAAAACTTTTTGTTAGATCAACATTCGAGTTGAGGCTCATTACATAATACAACTCTGGTTAATATTTTAATTATTAAATTGATGTGTCTACATAAAGGGTAAATTACCTTGATAGTTAAGAATTTAATCCTCAACCAACTGCGTTTAGTGTTCAGCTCTTCTTTTGATATTCGTATTAAATATAATAGGGAGCATTTTTACTTACCATCATAAACTATAATATATGCTCACCATACATCTAATCAATTGACATGTGTTATTTCACTTAATCTTGATTAATTTTTTTTCAAAATTGAAAAACTAACATTTAATGTGAAAGTTAACTAAAGTTAAATAAAATGACACGTGTCAATTGATTAGGTGTATGGTGAGCATACATCATAGTTTATAGTGGTGAGCAAAAATGCTCCCAAAATAATAAAACAAAATTTGGTGTGTCTACGTGGGTAAGTCTGTACGTGTCCAATTCGCATGCATGCATGCAGAGCTCAAACTAGACATGTGTCTTTGAATGAACGCCTGAACAACGTGTGTTTCTTTTTTCAAATGATAATGTTAGGAAGATAAAAAAATTTAAACTCAATTTGCAAACCAAATGATGTGGTTGTAAATGATTGAATTATTAATTAAGTATCAATTAACATACTTGTTTCTTATTGGTGACATATTATTTGATTTGCAATTTAGTTTAAAAAATTTGATCTCCTTAGCATTATCATTTTTCATATATCGAGCGGAAAAGAATCGAAGATGCATTGTTTATCCTAGTTAAGTCAAACGTACGTACATGCGTACGTACTACTACTCTGTCCATACAGCTAACAAAAATCCGCGTCCTCGCTCGTAGATATGCACCACTTCCATAATGTATACTGTCGTGTAGTAGCACCTCCCAGCACTATAAATTGACAATGGTGATCGTCGAAGTCTTGGCATTCACATCCTTCTAGTCTTTCTTGTGGGATTTTTGAGTAGCATAAGAGTTGGAGAATCATGAAAATTTTCAGGATTTTGATTCTGCTGGGCCTCCTGTTTGGCTCTGTTGTTCTGGTCTCCTCCGCTGTTGAAGCTGAGACAACCAAAGATGAGAAGAAAGCTTCAACAAAAGATGAGAAGAAAGGTTAATTTATGGACTTCTGTATGTTAGTTAATATTGGTTTACATATTCTGTATGAAAAATTTCAAGATTGAGATTTTGAAAGGCCTCCGGTATGCTAGTTTATACTTTACACAATACACGTACCTATGCACCCATTACATTTGCACGATCGATCCAAAGCACATATATGCACCCAATTATTATGGAACAAAGAAAATGTGTACAAGAATTTGATATGTCTTCAGTAAGTTCATAATAGTGTCGTAGTTCGAAATTACACATTCATAGCTAGGGTTTTTTGTATTCATACTGCTCCGATATATGTACTCGATACTTGCTAAGGTCTACCAAGGGCTAAGAGAGAGATATATATGTTTGTATATGGTGCAGTGGATGAGCCAAAGGAAGTTAACCAAGGTGGAGGTGGCAGATATTGTGGCCGGTGTTGCTATCACTATGGCCGTTACACTTGCGGCGGACAGTGTTGTTGGCCTGAAGAATCAGAAGCGGTTGAGAATGAGCCAAAGCAAGTTAACCAAGGTGGAGGTGGCAGATATTGTGGCCGGTGTTGCTATCGCTATGGCAGCTACACTTGCGGCGGACAGTGTTGTTGGCCTGCTGAGCAGTCCGAAGTAGTAGTTACCGAGGACAATTTTGAAACAAAGCAGCCTGATGGATATGGCGGCTGGGGAGGAGGGGGGACGGGTGTGCGGCGGCGGCTGGGGAGGAGGGGGACGCGGTGGCAGCGGTGGCGGGGGCAGGGGAGGAGGGGGACGCGGTGGCGGTGGAAGCGGGGGCAGGGGAGGAGGGGGACGAGGTGGCGGTGGCGGCGGGGGAAACTGAAGCCATATGCCTAGGTATAGGCTCGAAGCTAGACCAACAACTTAATATATATAAGAGTCTACATGTGCACATGTACAGAGTTGTAGAAAAATATGAATAAGCTCCGTGCATACATGTATATAGGAATGGGATCATGTAGTATATATGCACAAGCATGAGAGCATGGCATACGTGTCAAATATCACCACCGATAAATTTGACCCTGGCCAGCTCCAAGGACTGATGATAGTCCATGGAGCTCTTTCATGTGTTAAATATGTGTAGTTTGTAGCCTTTGTACTCATGAAGGGTAATGTTATATGAAGCTATATATGTACTACTCTTTCTAATAGTACATTGCAAATGAGACATCAAATGTTATCCACATCTATATTAACACCATTTTACGCCAAAGTAGAAAGGGTTGATGGAAATTAAGTAAATAAAAATCTCCGGACTACTTCCAAAGTTTGGAATTAAGCAAGGTATTTTCGTCAAATTCAATCTATACTAAAACTCAAAATCAACTGTATCACTGTTCATAAGCACAGTGTGCTTCCTATTTTGCCCCCAGTAAGTTTGTATTACTTTAAGTTTGCCATTCATCAAAATACATATCGACAGCTGGAATCGCACTCACAAATACCTCTTCTTCCTGCTTCATTTTCTTCCAACATCAAAATATGGCTTAAATTCCCTTCCCTTTTCCCTTCAGCGAGAAATCTGACACCCATCACCCAAAAATCACGTCGCCCCTCTCCTTGCGTTGCCGTTTTCCTCATCTCCCGGTGGTTCGTTCTCTCCACTGGATTCCATTTGGGTGAGTTCTTTGTTGATACTTGCCCTTTTGATTTCCCGATTTGGTTTTTTTGGGTGTCTTTAGTCGTCGTTTTGATGAAGTTTTTCTGCGTTTTTGCTTTTACGTTTGTGGTTTTTTATTTTTTTGGGGGGTTTGATGAATGAATCTGTGTGGGAGTTTTTGATGTTTTGTTAATTATGTTTTGCCAATCATCTCCCTTTAATCGCAGGAACAAGAAACACATGTTGCATGTCCCGATTCATTACCGTTTTGACGAGGATTTTCGAAATTTACCCCAATTGTATTCTCTCTCTTTCTGCACTTTGGAAAGGTAGTATTAGGCATCCTTATGTTCGTCGTCATACCAAAAGTGGTATTTGGAATGGCATGGTTATGATTTCATATTTATGAAATTAATTTACTCACATCTTTATCAGATCGATTTACCTTTTTTTTTTAGAATTCATCGTTTAAATTTCCAGTTAGGACAATTTTTCTTTTAAAGTTGTGGGTTCTTTTGATATGATTTTATTTTATCTGAATATTATTCATTTATTTTTTGAGATCTTATATCAAATCTCCAGATTGACTCATACTCTTTAGGCTTGAAATAGATTCTGTAAATCAGTGTTGCTAGAGGAGTTGTTTCGCAGCCTCAGGAAGAACAGAGCAATGTGTTTGAAATAGGTCTGACCAAAACTTTTCTATAAAATTTCGCAATTTTTGAGTTTTAAGTCATTCAAATTGGTTTGTTAAGTAGGAATAAAATACCAATTAATTAAAGATTAGTAATTTTCCCAGGAACTAATTACTAACCAACTTTTGGTAGGGTTCAAACTCTTAGTAGTTTCATTCTCTTAGTTTTTTGCAGTTGCATTATGACACTATACAACTTGAGTAGACGAAGAGTATAGCTTATCGTGAACAGCTGAATAGGAACTTTCTATGCAAGCATAATTGTAAAGGTTACTTTAAGTGATGACTGTTGATATGGTACATTGGTAATTCCTAAAAATTTAACACTTAAATCAATTTAGCTTCAAATTATTTTATTTTCTGTCATAAAAAAATAGCCTAAAGATTTAACATCCTATAATATAGTTTCTGTTAAGGAAAGTATCTCCACAGATTAGTCAATATTATTAATTGATATTGTTGTTATTTACTTCCTTGTTTAGTCCTTGACGATCCTTGTGTCTAGGCTTTAGTTTAGGATCTTGTTCACTGTATTCTTGTATATAAGGTGTAAACCTAGTTGGAGAAATATATAATGAAAACTATATTCCATTATACGTTTTCTATGATGGTACCAGAGTGATTGATATCTGGGCAAACAAAAAGCAAACACACAAACAAACCCTAGCAAAACGCAGCCATGGGTGATAGAGAAAAGAAGTCAACCTCCGCAGGCATGACCTCGCATTCGAAGTGGGAGAATCCTAATCACCCACTTTATCTCCATCATTCGGACCAACCTGGTGCAGTGCTTGTGCCTCAGCCACTGGTGGAAGACAATTACAGTACATGGGTTCAATCCATGACCATGGCTTTAACAGTCAAAAATAAACTAGGGCTTGTCGATGGAACAGTCGAGAAGCCTACTGAAGACAAACATGAAGAACTGCAGCAGTGGAATCGGTGTAATAATCTGGTTAAGACGTGACTCCTAGGATCTATGTCCAAAGAAATCTCAAGTAGTGTCATCCACTGTAAAGATGCAAGGCAGATGTGGCTTGATTTGCAAGAAAGGTTTTCCCATGTGAACATTGTTCAATTGTTTCACATAGAAAATGAGATCCATGGCTGTGTACAAGGCAACATGACGGTGAGTTCGTACTTCACTAAATTAAAAGGGCTTTGGGACGAACGTGATGTACTGTGTTCTATCCCTGCATGTAGTTGCGACACGAAAAAGGAGATTATTTCTTATGTTGAAACCCAGAAAACCATGAAGTTTCTCATGGGTTTAAACGATTCATATTCCACCGTTCGAAGTAATACTCTCCTCCTTGAGCCTTTACCAACAGTGAACAAGGCCTATTCCTTTGTTCTTCGTCATGAGAGGCAGGCAGAAGTCTCAACTGGAAAGCATTTTTCTCAACCTGAAGCGGCAGTCTTTGCCGTGAAAAATGGTGGCCGAGAAAATGAACAAGAAGACGGAAATCTTCGTTGTGGGAAATGTAACAAGACGAACCATATTACCAAGCACTGCCGAGCACACCTCAAGTGCACTTTTTGTGGATGGAAAGGTCATTCATTCGAATATTGTCGCAAGCGCAAAGCAGCTGCTGAACCTGAACAAAATCGCCCATCTTCTGCTAAGGGTAATCATGTTGCAGTGCATGACAAGAAGGACGGGATGCCCAATTTTCCCTTCTCTCAGGAGGATTGCAAACAGATACTTGCGATGTTAAACAAGAACAAGTCATCCTTTGCGAATCACGTTGGTAATTCATCAAACAATGAAGAACTCTCAGGTAAAGCTTTTTCATGCATGCACAATGGTATTACAACTGTTTGGATCTTGGATAGTGGTGCAACGGACCACATCATTTGCAGCCCTAATTCTCTCACATCATCGAGGCCTGTTTCTAACCATACTGTTGAACTACCCACTGGTTCTCTTGCCACGGTCACCCACATTGGACAAGTCGTTTTCTCACCCACATTGGTGCTTGATCATGTTTTGTGTGTACCATTTTTCACGTTAAATCTAATATCCATTAGTAAGCTCGCCCATGATTCTTTCTATATTACCATTTTTCTCAGACAAATTTGTGTTATACAGGACCTACGCTCGGGGAAGATGATTGGGATGGGATTTGAGCGAGAGGGGCTATACTACCTCGATCCACCACAGAAAAGAACATGCAATGTCATTCAAGCTTCCAACCCTTGTCTTTGGCATCAACGTCTAGGCCATCCATCCCAAACTGTTTCCATGTTATTTCCCTTCTTGAATAATAAACCTTGTGATTCTAATAAGTGCTTTATTTGTCCATTAGCCAAACAAACCAGAGCACCATTTTCATTAAGTTCTATATCCACTAAATCTTGTTTTGAACTGATTCATATTGACATTTGGGGGGGTATCACGTTCCTTCTCTTTCTGGTGCACGATACTTTCTCACAATTGTTGATGACTACACTCGAAGCACATGGATTTACTTGATGAAACATAAATCTGATACACGGGATCTCCTTGTGCAATTTATTCATTTGGTTGAAACACAATTCACCACCAAGGTCAAAATGATTAGAAGTGATAATGGGCCCGAATTTCGTCTTGACAATTTTTATGCTCAGAACGGCATCGTCCATCAAACGAGTTGCGTCAACACACCACAACAAAATGGTGTTGCTGAACGTAAGCATCGTCACTTATTAAATGTTGCCCGAGCCCTCCTTTTTCAAGCTAAAATGCCACAACGTTTTTGGGGGGACGCCATCCTTGCTGCAGCCTACCTTATCAATCGCACCCCCACACCCGTTCTTAAAGGCAAGACACCTTATGAAAAACTGTTTAACAAAATTCCCCACTATTCACACTTACGCGTATTTGGTTGTTTGTGTTTTGCTTCCACTCATCCACTTAAACCTTCCAAATTTGATCCCCGTGCCCGTCGCTGTGTATTTCTGGGATATCCCTATGGGCAAAAAGGCTATCGTTTACTTGATCTTCAACTTAATAAAGTTTTTGTCTCCCGTGATGTCATTTTCTTTGAAGATCAGTTCCCCTTAGACACTTCCGATGCCCCTGACAACTCCCATGCCCTTGCCAACTCACCCACCACATCCCACCCACTTTTCCACTTTGACATGGCTTCTTTTCCTGACACACCTCCCATGCCTTCCGCACCCTCTGACCCTCCCTCACATGCATTATCCTCATCTGACCCTACACCACAAGCCTTATCTTCACCTGACTCTCCTACCAACCCTGCACCGTCCACCACTAACCTCCTCTCTGACCCTACATCTCCAGATCCTTTACCTTCTCCCATTCCAAATGCTCCGCCCACCCCTCCACCCCGACGTGGAACTCGTCCTACTAAACCTTCCACTTTTTTGCAGGATTTTCATATCGAGGTTCCTCTCCCGTCTCGGCCTGATCCCATGTCTTCTCTGAACGTCGTCCAGTCATCGTCAGGTACTTCTCATCCTCTCTCACATTACTTAACATATGATCGTCTTTCACCTCACCATAAAGCTTACACTGCCACACTCACCCTCCTCAAAGAACCCACCAGCTTTTCCCAAGCTGTCCGAGATCCACACTGGCGTGATGCCATGCAGCGTGAAATCGCTGCTCTTCAAGCCAACCATACATGGACACTTGTGCCTTTGCCGTTGCATAAACGTCCCATTGGTTGTAAATGGGTTTACAAGATTAAGCTCAAACCTGATGGCACAATCGAACGGTACAAGGCGCGCCTCGTTGCCAAGGGCTACAGTCAAATTGAAGGTGTTGATTACCAAGAAACCTTTGCTCCAGTTGCTAAATTAACCACAGTTCGCGTGCTTCTTAGTGTTGCGGCTGTGCAAGGTTGGCATCTCCATCAACTAGACGTGAACAATGCGTTCTTACATGGTGATCTTGACGAAGATGTTTACATGAATTTACCTCCTGGTTTCGGACGAAAGGGGGAGAATCGAGTATGTAAGTTGAATAAATCCCTATACGGCTTAAAGCAAGCTTCCAGGCAGTGGTTCATTATCACTTCCAATGCCCTCAAGGCTGCTGGGTTCCATCAATCACGGTCTGATTATTCACTATTCGTCCGAAGTCATCATGGTAACTTTGTTGCTTTATTAGTCTATGTTGACGATGTGATACTGGCGGGGAATAATCTGCATGAAATTGAAGAGACTAAGCAGTTCCTCTCTCAACGGTTCAAGCTGAAAGACTTGGGACAACTCAAGTATTTTTTGGGAATAGAAGTTGCACGCTCAAAACGTGGAATCACTCTATGCCAGCGCAAATACGCACTAGAGATATTGGATGATGCTGGTTTTCTAGGAGTTAAGCCTTCCAGGTTTCCTATGGATCAAAATTTGTCTCTCACACAAATGGAAGGAAAGGAGTTGAAAGATCCTTCGTCATATAGACGACTTGTGGGCAGGTTAATTTACTTGACCATAACGAGACCTGATTTAGCATATGCCGTCCACATACTAAGTCAGTTCATGGAGAAACCACGACACCCACATCTTGAGGCAGCACATAAAGTTCTCAAGTACATCAAACAGAACAAGGAATCTTTCTTCCTTCCACAGGATCACTGGAATTACAAGCGTTTTGTGATGCTGATTGGGCTAGATGTAGAGATACTCGAAGGTCGATAACTGGCTACTGTATTTTGCTTGGTCAAGCGCCCATTTCCTGGAAGACTAAGAAACAAACAACTATATCTCGTTCTAGTGCAGAGGCTGAATACCGTTCCATGGCCACCACATGTTGTGAAATCATATGGTTGAAGAATATTTTGAAAGATCTGAAAGTGAGTGACTCACAACCTGCTAAGTTGTTTTGTGACAATCAAGCAGCATTACACATTGCCTCCAATCCCGTTTTCCATGAGCGAACGAAGCATATAGAGATTGATTGTCACCTAGTACGAGAGAAGATTCAGGAAGGGATGATACGTACGGCGTACGTGAGGACAAGTGATCAACCGGCTGACATATTCACCAAGCCATTGAGTTCAACACAGTTTGAAGGATTACTTAGCAAGTTGGGTGTCATTAACATACACTCCAACTTGAGGGGGAGTGTTAAGGAAAGTATCTCCACAGATTAGTCAATATTATTAATTGATATTGTTGTTATTTACTTCCTTGTTTAGTCCTTGACGATCCTTGTGTCTAGGCTTTAGTTTAGGATCTTGTTCACTGTATTCTTGTATATAAGGTGTAAACCTAGTTGGAGAAATATATAATGAAAACTATATTCCATTATACGTTTTCTATGAGTTTCAATTGTAAAAGATAGTAAATTGAGGTTCTTTGAATCGTTATTGATATTGGTTTCTGCATTCGGTGTTAGAATGTGACTGTTATGTGTTTTGCTTCATTTTAGTTTACTTATTGTTAACAAAGAAAAGAGGAAGTGAGTGTCTGGTAACCATGTATGTAAGGGTATGATCGGTGATTTGACACCTCAATTGCTTTGCTCAATAATCTTTTACAAAATTTTACAGTATTTAGAAATTGTATCTTTAATTTACAGTATGAATACATTCCTTTACGGATCATCTCATCGCTCATCATGTCAGTTGATAATGTGTGAGATAAAGAGAGTTCATATATCTCCATGACGGGGCAATGGTCCTCCACCCATTATGTGGTGCTATTTTACAACTTAGTTTAATGAGAAAATATCAATTAATTAGTTTCTAATCAAATTGGATTAGTTCTGCAAGGATGAAAGGAATGTAGAGTTCAATGTGATAGCATTTCAGTGTTTGAGTGATTTAGTGTTTAAATTTAATGTTTCAAGTAGTATCCGAATTGATGAGTGCTTGAGTATTTTAATATTTGAGTTTGATCTTTCAAATTGTACCTAAATTGCAGTCCAATAATGACATTTCTATTACGTATAAGAAAAAATGGGATTTTTTTCTTGACACTAAATATATAGGCATTCTTATCACTTTTTTCCATAGCTCTTCAATTTTATTCTTCCCTACTATATTAATTAAGTGTAGGTTAATTTAGATTTGATAAAAGATATTGCTCAGGAAGTACATATTTGTAGTCTCCAGTAAAAGGTATTATTCATTTAATTTCTGAGATCTTTTATCACATCTCCAGGTTGACTCATAATCTTTAGGCTTCAAACAGATTCTGTAAATCAGTGTTGGTGGAGGAGTTGTTCCGCAGCCCAGGAAGAACAGAGCAACGTGTTTGAAATAAGGTATGACCAAAAATTTTCTATAAAATTTTGCAATTTTTGAGTTTGAAGCCATTCAAATTGGTTTGTTCAGTAGGAATAAAAATAGCAATTAATCAAATTGTTTGGGTCCTATTTGTATGGCTAACGTTTCATTGACCGTCGGCCTCTTGAACACTAAGAAATATGTCCACTAGTCCTTTACTTTGATAGCAAAGTGAATTGAGTTAAAGCTTGCAGCTTCTGGAACCTGAAAAATGACTAAAAAAAAAATTAGACTGTATAATGTGTATTTGCTTGGTAGTACTCTGTGGTGCAATGAATACTGAGATGAATAATTAAAATGAAGGGTAAACATAGGCATACAACTTGAGTAGACAAAGAATATGAGTCATTATCAACAGTTGAATAGGAACTTTATTGCAAGCGTTTCTGCATTCGCTGTTAGTTTTCAAATGTGATTTATGTGTTTTGCTTCATTTTAGTTTACTTATTGTTAAGTATTTAATAATTGACGACTTTTTTTTTTTGATTTTTTTTTTTTTTTAGATTTCTCAGTGAATTATCTATTGCTTGGAGTTTGAATTTTTTATGCCATGTTAAGAGGGTGTAGAACTAGCAAACACAATCAAATAATACAAGAATGCCATATTGTTGGTTCTTCCAGTGGCATACAAGTTTGTGAAAAACCAAGCTTTGAACATCAGGACAAAAGACAAAAAATTGTTGACAATGTGTGTTCCAACAGTATAAATACAGTCCAAACAAGTGCCACTGTCGTTACATTTGATAATTCAAATCAAATTAGTAAAGGTCAAGCCAATATCAAAAAAAAACAAACAAGATAATTGTCTATTGAACTTACAATTTATTTTGAGTCGATTATGCATTTATTACTCTGTCACTAATAAGTTGTATTTTTGTCTTCTTTTTC